GTCCTGTATCTCCATTCCTGGGCATGTTTGGGCGGGGGACCACGACACATCGACAGCTGGGGGGCTGATAGTCTCATACACCCTCAATGTGTATGAGCGTACTATGTGTCTTTAAATAAACTGTTCCACCTTAAAAACCTCGAGAGGCACAAGAAAACATACTGAATAAGAACAACTAACATGCCGAGGTTACAAAATGAGAGAAGCTGGAGAATGCTCTGGAATTGCTTTTCTGAAATTCCCTGAGGTTGGCTTACTGCCTTGCAGAACATGAGGTCTAGTCTGAGGAGCTACCTAGGGTTAAAGACAGTTCTCGCGATCAAGTGGTCCGCGAATGCTACCGTGCATTTGGCATCGTTGTCCGCATTCGCAGAGATATACCACTTTCGTCACTCGAAACGGCGAGATAAAGAAGCTAGAGACGCGTGATTATTGCAACCATTGCAACCACGATTACTTTCACTCTGCAAGACAACGGCTTACAAGCGGAATTGCGTGTGTACATAGCGTTGCCTGGAGCGTCGTAGGGTGATTTCCTGTATCTTGCCGGGAATCGGTTGCACGTCGAATCCTGCTGATTGGGCTTGACCGACGTCCGACAAACTCGTCCAAAGGCGCCCAGTACTAAGGGGGGGGGTCTCTGTTCAGAGTGTTCCCAAGGTTTTTTTTCGCTTCTTCTCTACTGGGAATTACTTATGGGCTACTGGTTCATGATTGAGCACTTACTACCCGTAGCATTTGATCGCGCGAATTGTTTTTGGATATTCCGCCAACTACATTTTCCGTGGTTATTTTCACTGTAAAATTATCATATGGTTTTAGTGGGCTGTACACTGGATAACGCGTGGACTTGGCGATTTAGAAGAGATGGTGTCGCGCACTACTGGCGGCAAATACGCTGTTGGCGACCAGATCACAATAGCTGACATTTGCATTCCATCTATTCTGTACAATGCTAAAAGGTGAAATCCCAATTGAATTTTTGTGCTTGACAACAATAAAACACATCTTTTTTGAGTTTTTTTTTTCAAAGTGAAGTTTTTAAGGTTTGGCGTAGACCTCTCAAAGTACCCGAAGCTGTGCATGATAGATGCGAACACGGCAACGATCCCTGAATTCAAAGCTGCTCACCCAGATCAACAACCCGATGCAAATCCCGATGCGAAGTGAAGTCTACAGCGTAGTGGCGTCCTTGGAGTAGCTGTACCCATTTAGGACGCGTGCAGTTGCGACGCGGTTCTCTTGTAAGACATGCCTGAAGCTCTCACGAACGGTTAAGTGATATCAATGGTAATTTACAAAGTAATCTGTGATGTCATTCATCTGTAAAGGCCATCTGGCCTCTGAATGGTAATTTTCTCGGGATATCATTTTGTTACGTTTTATTTTACTAAATAAACACGTAATTATCGTCATTTGCGTTGGTGGCCGTGTTGTATATTCGCAACTATGTACTTGTGTGAGTCATTCCTCATCGTGCGCCCTGATCGGTCACGTTTTTCTTACTCTGGGTAGAACTGGTTTCACTCACTACTGACAGTGAAAGATCGCCGTTCTGAGGTCACTCAGCGGTGGCGGAGCAGCAATGACTAACGATTTTGGGTTACTTCTATGCGATGCTATTATTCGTAGAGTCTCACCTGTTATTATCATACAGTTTCTATTTCAAACTTTCTTCGCTCTATCCATTCACTCTACATCCCGGAGACAGATAGGGCGTGGCAGCGTACTTCATATGAGCAAAAGGTTTGATGTGTTTTTCGCTGGATTTCCCTACTTGACGGAGCTGTTATCCTGTCTTGTACTGGGCAAAGTCATAGTTATAATTGCCCCGAAACGGCAGTATCCTACCGAAATTGCAGGCGCCTCCGCCTTCATAATAAAGTGCACATTCACGCCTTCCCCATCTTCCGGATATAGGGTGCACCCCGTGTGGGTTTCTTGAAGGTATACTCTCGGGTTTATCCGGACCAAGTAGAGGTCATAGAAAACGTTTCAAAGAACCAAGGGTCATGGCATTGGGGTGGTGGTGGTAGTGACAAGTGGCGTGCCCACCACTCGCGCGGTCCTGGGCTCAAATCCGGGTCGACTCCCGTCCAGGCTAAGCCTTCTACCCCCCTCCCCCTCCCCCGGAGACGCCAGATTGGTACCAGAACTGTGTGAGAGGATGGGAACACTGATTTTTACATCGGCTGGCCGGCCCGCAAGTCATTGTATAGGCCACATCGCATTCAATAAGCCACTACGATTCTGAATGGAAGTAGAATGCGTGCCGCATCCCACAAAGGGATTGATCAACGGCGAAGACTTTATTCTTTTATCCTGCGCATTTGAGCAGGAGGATGGAGCAGTGATCTATAGTATACATGGTCCTTAGGTTTACCTTCTGACCCCAAGTGGTATGCTCGTCGGTCATCAGAGTTCAAAGGCGCAGCCCAATCTGATTGTTTGGGCGGAGTATGCCAATCATTGTATCTTCCTCATTGGTGCGCCCTCTTAAATCCAAGAAGGCATGATGCCTGACCGTCTGTATTCATAAGGTCTAAAGTTGACATAATCGCAATCCGGGGGGGGGGGTGGTGAGGGAGTTCAAGAGGTGTCGAATGAGCTCACCAGTCGGCTGCGTTTTATACCTATAGTGGCCGCTTGAAGGCAAACCCCGCGATCAGATATTCTGGGTAGTGGTGCACAAGTGGCGATATTAAGATGCCAACAAAGTCAGTGGTGGAAAAAAAACAGAAAAAAAGTAGCAAATACCCCTTAATAATACCCTCAGTGGGCGCACTTGTACGAGCAGAGGAAGAGCAAGGAGAGTGATCGGACGAGATCACCGGGCGAGTGCTGTTGTGGTCGATGTGGTTGCCGCTTTTGATCACAGTTGACTTCCTATTGCCAAGAATGTGCTTGCCTACATTCTTTGGCAGGTCTTCTGTCATTAGGATATAAAGCGACGGGCGAGGCCATTGAAAATGGGTCGGGCAAATGAGAGGAACGACGGCATCGCTGGCCTCCTCGCTCGCTATTGCACCGCTAAAATGGCGCAATCGCCGCTTCTGCAGACCTGTATACCTGTTCACGACGGGAGAGGAAAATGTCAATTTGTCGCGGGCACTGCCTTTGAGGTATCTCTCTAGACAACGCCCTAAAGATTGCGATTATATCAGCTGTACAGTCTTGTTTGCTGCGGATGACGAGGCGTGTCAAGGGGATGGGCGGCGCGGCACCAACCCGTTATTTTCTTTTTTTTGGCAAGCTACAAGACTGTTCCACATCGCTCGTCGTGCCAGACCCATTCCCCTTGACACACCCCATCATCTGCAGTGAACAAGGTTCTACGTTGATGTTCATGATTGCGTTTTAGAGCAAGTCAGTAAGCAAAGGGCGGAGATTGCTGCAAATGATAAAGGTCCTGCGGTGCTGGTCTTGAGATAGCGTTAACAAATTCCTCTCGTTTTTTTATAAGCGATAATCGCAGTACTACGACGGGACTGCCACATAACTGCCACTCCTTATTTCTTTGCTAGTCAGTCATATTTTATTGATTTTACTCTTCTGGAGTTGGCGAGCTCGTGATCGGCCTAAAGTTCTTTTTGAAACTTTTCATGTTGCAAGGAACCTAAGCGGTTTTTTTCAGAATAAAGCGAAGTGCGGGCATTTATCCCTACATTTTAGGATCGTTAACTCTCTATCTTTTTCTATCTCTAGTTTATCTAGTACTGAGATTTTTTGGATGATTCCCTCCTTTTCCTTCCTAGCGTTCTTGTCCAATAGTTGTTGGGTAAGGATGCTTTTGCACTGAGACTTTCTCAGCAGGGCACATCATACACTTAATATCACCGCAATTGTCGGGTCGCAATCAGCGGTTCTCACATGCGGCGTTTCCATCATTGGTTGTTTCCTTCCTAAATCGATTTCTACCCGATCGCCATTGGTAGAGCAAGGGAGCCGAACGCGGACTCGAACCGCGCTGCTCACGCCGCCTCCGACAGTCCGCAATGATGAGGACTGTAGATGACTCTGAGGGAATCGTTAGTGACCGCTAGGGGGGAAAGGAATTGTAAGCGCAGAGATCAGTCAGCATTGAAGAGTGATCAAACGAGAGGGATTGAGGCTTTGGACATTTCTTCATTATCCCAGGAATAGATCTGCGCTCACGGGTGAACATTACGTAGAACTTACACCACCTTCAGCATATCTGCCTATGAGTCGAATACATGGCGCAATAGAGAGCTGAGGCATTGATACCCACCCTCAAATTATTTAGTCATTCTGGGTCGACCTTTTGGATGTGTTTCGCAAGTGAAGCCTTTTAGGGAACATACAATGGGATGGGGACAACTTGTTGGGTACTCGGTTACACCTTTTTTCTTGTCTCGGCTGAAGTCACTTCGCCCTACGGATGAATCCATTGTCTTCTCCACTGTGGCAATAGAATGTCTAGAAACCAATGGCTGGGTCTTTCCGCAGAGGTATCCTTTGAATGTAATGTGTAAACAGTCAATTTCACCCATTATACGCTTAAAGACCGTTTCCTCGATCAAGTGGTCCGCGAAATGCCTCCGTGCATTTGGTATCATTCTCCGCATTAACATCCCAGCCAAGGCTCGAACCTGGACCTCACCATTTGCCGGCTAGGAAGCTGAGCGCTAACCCGGGGTTGCCTTCCGCCCTCCCAGCTCAAAGGCTTTCGGCATAGCTCTTCTGAAATTCTCTGAGGTTGCATTACTGAACATGAAGACTAGTTTGAAGAGCTGGCTGGGGTTAAACGTAGTTCCCGCCTCAAGTAGTCCTCGAGATGCCACCGTGCATTTGGCATCGTTGACCGCATTCGCAGAGTATTACCACTTTCGTCACTCGAAACGGCCAGAAAGAAGCTAGAGACGCGCTACTATTGCAACCATTGCAACCGCGATTACTTTCACTTTCGGCTTACGAGCGGGATTGCGTGTGTACATAGTGTTGCCTGGAGCGTCGTAGGGTGATTTCCTGTGCTCTTGCTGGGGAATCGGTTGCACGTCGAATTCTGCTGATTGGGCTTGCTGACGTCTGATGAAACTCGTCCAAGGCGTCGGTCCCGCTGCTAAAGGTGTTCAGAGTTTTTATTTTTCGCTTTCTCGCTACTGAGGAGTTACTTGGGCTACTGGTTCATGACTGAGCACCTATTTCCCGTGACACTTGATCGCGGGTATTGACTTTGAATCGGATACCATATCCGTGATCAGGGCACCGGATGCTCCAATAGTCGAAGTGTCGGAAAAAAAGAGGAAAAAAGAAACTGGGTATCATGCAGCTGTCGATTTCCGTTTTCCGTATTCTATTCACTTTTTAGTGTTCGTACACTTTTCACTTCCGACTACCAGATTTCTTGAGTGTGTCTTCGATTATGATCGGAATGTCGGCTGTTGTGCGATCGTCCGCCTCTACAAGGCAACTTGACTGGCCGAAATGATGACTAATTCGTCAAGCATGCCTCTTCGACTGTTTCAGACCCTCCGTGGGCGCCCCTTGTATCATTAGAACTCCAAGGCGCTCTGTGATGTTGGCGACATGGCGCTGCTGCTGTTGTCACCGCTGCAGATTTCTTCTATACGTTTTCTTTCAGTTCATTAGCTGTCTGGTATGTTCCATCCGTCGTCCTTGGTATGACTTCCACCTGTTTATCAGTATTTTTCAGAAATCTGAGATATATACTTTATTCGAAGCGCTGTCCGCACCGAACTAGCCGTATAACGTGGGATCGGCGTGTATAAGGCCAGGAAGGACTTTTTGTGGGAGATGTGTTTGCAGAAGATAATGATGAAAGATTTGGGATAGTTTAAAGGCACGGTCCGCGACCACGTGTAGAAGTTGAAAATATAGCGTTGGGAGGAAATTGTGGTTCGCGACGAACAATCTTGTACCGGTTTTTGGAAAAAATTGTGAAGGGAAGGGCGCTATAGCGCAATACAGGTTCAGTGACGCCTCCTTTTCTCCAGTGACTCCGCCTCCAGACTCCGCCTTCAAGACCCGCCTTTCAGTAAAAAACGAAACTGCAGGACGAAAAAGAATGAAAATCGTTCACTTGCAAGGTCGTAGAGTTCTTAAATTCGGTTTGGTCGTGCAGATGAGGGTGTAGTTTGGAGATGGGGTTAATAGGGAAAAAATTGGGATTGGAGTGGGTTTCTATCTAG